GAGCTCGGCGCCACGCGGGAAGAAGTGGCGGGGCCCCACGGCGAGCCCCGCGGCCCGGAAGTGAAGACGTCACACCACTTCCGGGGCGGGCCCGGGAGCCGGAAGTATAGTCGTCCCGCGGCCCTGGAACTCGGAGACGGTGCGGTGGAGCCCTGGCGGTGGGCTCAGCTCGCGTGGTCTGCTTGGTCTCTCGCGACGGCGGGTTTTGCTTCGTCTCGAGGGGAGGGCCTTCGAATTTTGGGACTTGAAGGCGACGCGCCTTCTTGGAGCCGTCCAGGCCACACCGCGCCTGTTGGGCGCTCTGGAAGGCCGACACCAGTTCAGGGTTCAGGACACAGCCGCGGCACGGCGGTCTCGGGCTCCCGGCGAGGCGCCTAACGCTCCACGCCAGTCCGCGCACGGATTTGGGCATAAAGCGCATAAAAGGAATAAATCATACCTCACAGGCCGAGGCGCGAAGCTCTAGCCGTACAGGTTACCAAGTCAGGCCTGGGGGCACGACCAGTTGGGATGGCAGAGTCCCGGAAGCCTGGCTGTGCCCCGGTAGGAGAGGGGCGGGGCGCAGGCACGAACCCTTCGCCAGACCCAGACCCAGCACGCCGTGGATGGAATATTTAGACACAAATGAGCATGCAGTTACTTGGTGTGCTGCATATTTAAACGGACTTTTTTTGGGGGAGGGAGGGTTTGCTGTAGGGCGTGCGCTCTCCAGAAAGAGAAAGTGAGAAATCACCCTCCAGGGGATGCTGAAGGGATTGCCATGCTGCAATCCCGTCTCCATTCTCCTCTCTGGATCTTGGGCACGCTCGAGCTCCAGCGTGAGTTTTAAGCCACCTGGTCCGGGACTCGAACTGTGGTCGACTCGACTACGTGGGAGTCCAGCGACTTAGCCATTACGCCAACTGCTGGTCCTCTTTAAACGGATTTTCTAACTTGGATTAATTATTTTTTCCTGACCCTGTTGAAGGATGCACCATTGAAGTGCAAAAGGAGTGTTTTAAAGGCCTGCTTTCTAGTTAGGAAATCCCATTTCCCTGATATAATTTGCCTACCTAAGTAGGAAACTACAGTATGTTTAAAAGCAACATTATGGGAAAGGGTTTTATATGGCTGACATTCCTGTTTTGGTTTCCTTGCAGAATAGGTAATTACTCCAGTGGTGCCCAAGGGAGACCTGAGGGTCCCAAGTTGTCCCCAAGACTGAAGCTTTGGTAAGTTACTGGCCTTCTGTTAGTAATATTTGACCTTTGATGCCAAAATGTAGAGGGCTAAGACTAGACTTATACTCCTACAATTAGTATAGCAATGGCTTTATTACTCAATCCCATACTTAGGGTTCTTCTAAAATATGGCATAGCTGCTTTTCTAATTTTAATGCTAGTATTTCATTTCTCCTAGTAGAACTAGACCAGGGTCTTATAACCTTGTCATTAAACATGCTGAGCCAGGTGAATCTTTGTGGGGCCGGCCTGTGCAGGCTAGATGTCTAACAGCAACCCCTGGCCTTTACTAAGTACATGCCAGTAGTGTTCCAGTGATCTAACATCAGACACAAATGCCTATTCTCAAATACTTCTGCATTTTCCACTTTATAGAGAGGGAAAGTGACAAATCATCTCTTAGAGTGGATAGCCATGCCACCAACCCCTTCTTCTCTCTTCTCCTGGATTGTGGGCATGCACACACATGCACCCGGCTTGATTTTCAAGCCCTGCATCCAGGACTCAAATTGCAGTCAGTTTTGTGGGAGTCCAATTCCTTAATTACCATGTCATCTGCTGGCCCCAGTATATACTGAGGCACAAAGTGGTAAAAGACACTCTTGAAAACAAGTTTTCTATAGATGACAGTATAAATAATCCACACAATAATGCAACAAGCATTTATTAAAAGCCTGCTATGTGCTCAGCACTGTTACTAGGCACTAGGGGGTACAGAGATACAAATGTAAAAGTGGGTATTTCTGCCCTCAAGGAGCTTACAATTTAATTTTGGAAATAAATACAAATGTAAAACTGCAATACCAAATGGTAGAAAATAATTAGGTTGGAAGTGCATAGACCACACCACAAACTGAAGAGAATGCGCTGTAGCAGATAATGAGTAGAGAGGTTATGCTCAATGTGAGACAGGTTAATGAAGGGGAACTCCGAATACATGAAGAGACTGGGCTCTGGTGGGAGTGATGAACTTGACATGAGGCAAAGAGCAACCCAAGCAACCAGGATGGTGTGTATAAGACACGGAGGCAAGAGCTTGACAGGCAACAGTGGAAGGCTGGTGGAAGCTTGGATGTGATGAACCAAGACAAAGAGGCAGAGGGTGATGAGGCTGAGGCAGATTAAGAATGGAGGGCTGCAGTGAACTTAGAACCACTCTCTACAGTAATTACAGCTGGGCGTTACTGACTGAAAATGAGACTTCATGAAAATGTTGAAGAGCATGATCTTGGAAGCTTTTTATAAGAAAGAATCCTGAGAGCAAAGAAACTGGAAAGACTGAATTACAGTAACCTGAACCTCTGATAATGTAAATCTACATGGAAGGGATTGGCAGAAATGTAAAGGACCAACTCTCATGAAAATCAACTAAGAACTGAATCAATGGGCCAGCAGAGGGTATGGTGGTTAAGGCGCTGGACTCCAACATGGCTTACTATGGTTTGAACCCCAGACCTGGCAGCTTAAAAAACACTGGGTATGTGTGCATGTGCCCAAAATCCTGAGAGAAAATGGAGAAGGGATTTCAGTGTGGCCATTCCCCCAGGTGTTGATTTCTCATTTTCCCTGTCACTGTCTCTTTGTCTCTCTCTGGTGAGTACACACACCCTGTGGCAAAACAAACAAATAAATAAAAAACCAAACAGCAATATTTTGGACATGGAAAGTAGAAAATGATGTAAAGATACTCCAAGGCTGAGATAAAGAATATGAAGGGGAGTATGTTAAGGGTAAAGTGATTAAGTAGTGATTGCCAAACCAGTGAATAAGAAAGAGGCTGATCTTATGGTAAAAAATGAAACATGCAGAAAAGCAACAGAGGGTGTGCTTGTCTAGTTTGTTATACAGGAATTCCAAGTGTGCCCCACTTATCTGGAGGAATAGAAGGTCCACTGGAGTAACAGTCCTTTGGAGGAACTGCAATGATCCAGATGTCTGAGTGGTGGCCTGTTACCTTCTACTTGTCCCAATCTGTTACCAAAAGCCTCACAGAGCTGCAGTGCCCAGTGATGGCGAGTTCAGTGGGTGTCTGTCATCAGACTAGACACAGGTCCAGATAGAGGAGGAACTGGGGTAAGGTACTGGACCTGCCACTGTGGATGTTAAAGTAATATGAATGGGCAGCAGGACGCAGGTGGTAGACGACTGATGAAGTGCCGAGCCATCTGAGGTGGGTCCAAGGGAACTGCAGGAGTGACAGACCAGCCAGTTAGGGAGCATGCAGTGGGGGGGAGGGGGGGACTCAGCACAACTGAGATTGGTCCGAGGGGACAGATGTAAAGTATTTCTAAGGATTTTCACATCTTCTTCAAGCCCTTCTGTCTCCTTTTTCCTTTGTGACACCGTGACTAGGACAGAGCAAATGCCCATCTCACCATGTGTATAGAGAACTGGGAGGAAAGCCAGGGTACCCACAGCTACAGTTGCGCAAGCTTGTAAGCAGCTGGGCTGAGTCCCCAATCACCTTCCTTTGTCACTGCTACAACCATCACTAATATATCTGCATTCTTTGCTGAGAGAGGTCCTGGCCTGGGGTGGCACATTCTCAGCAACTTGGCAGAGTCAGTGATGATGACAAAGTGCTGGACTGTTAAATGCAACACTCAGCCTGCCTGGGTATGTGGGCTTCCCCAGGTAGGAGGAGTATAAGAAAGCACACTTAAGCATGAGTATGGTGAGAGTCTATGAACTTCCAAAGAGCTAGAATCTTACAAAGCTAAATACAAATATAAATCTCACGCAGAGGCTGTTCAGACTCAAGCACAGCTTCTTAGAGCAGATCAGGTCAAGGGCACCTAAGGGCAATGTAGGAGAGCACAGGAGGTGGGAAGCAGAGGAACTCAGGAATGGCAGCCTCTCAAACCTACAGCTACTTACCGCAAAGACACGGTGAAGTGCTTTAAGCCACAATGAGCCACTCTCTAATGCTACCTTCTAATGCTATCTCTAAAGAACACATCAGGCCAGTGCTGTCTGCTCCATCAGACATCTCCAAACGCAGTCATATGATTCAACCTACATCAAGGTCTGGTCCCAAACTAATGGACAGCTGCTCCACTGGGCCATCACTGGCCTGCAGCACTGGAGGACGCTGTAATGATGACCAACTCTCGGCCTCTGTAATACGTGAAGGGCCTCTCGCCAGCGTGCCATTTCTTTAGGTGGGCTGATGCTCAAACATGGGACTAAAGTTTTTTCTAAACTCCTATGGATTCAGACTTCTCTCCACTATGGATCCTCTGGTGTCGGATGAGACTGGACCTCTGAATGAAGGCTTTCCCACACTCATTACACTGGTAGGGCTTCTCCCCTGTGTGGATTCTCAGGTGCTGGATGAGGCCAGTGTTCCCATTAAAAGCTTTCCCACACTCTTTACATTTGTAGGGTCTCTCTCCAGTGTGGATTCTCTGATGTTCAATAAGGCCTGACTTCTGACTGAAGGCCCTTCCGCACTCACTGCATTTGTAGGGTTTCTCCCCAGTGTGGCTTCTCTGATGGCCAATGAGGTGTGAGCTTCGCCTGAAGGTTTTCCCACACTCATCGCACTCATAGGGCTTTTCCCCTGTGTGGATTCTCTGATGTCCAATGAGGTGTGAGCTGTGGCTGAAAGCTTTCCCACACTCATTACACTCATAGGGTCTCTCCCCACTGTGGATTCTCTTGTGCAGAATGAGGCCCGCGCTCTGGCTGAAGGCCTTCCCACACTGACTACATTGGTATGGCTTCTCTCCAGTGTGGATCCTCTGGTGTAGGATCAGGCCTGTGTTTTGGCTGAAGGCTTTCCCACACTCCTTACAGTGGTAGCGCTTCACCTTGTTGTGGATATCCTGGTGGGAGAGAAGAGCTGAGCGATAGCTGAAGGCTTTCCCACACACATTACACTGATAGGGTTTCTCTCCTGTGTGGATTCTCCAGTGACGAACAAGGCCTGAGCTTTGAGCAAAGCTTTTTCCACATTCGTCACACTTATGTCTTCTCTCTTGTGTGGGATTTCCACGCTGCCTCTCTAACCTGCCCAGCAGGTCTCGGGCTTCTCTGTCCTCAAGGCCCCTGATAACATCCCCATTGCATTTGGCAGCTGTCTCTCCGAGTGGCTGGATTCTAGTGGATATTACTTGTTTTGAAGTTAATTCCCTGTCTTCATTCTTAGTCTCAGCACCTGAAACAGAAACACAGTAAACATCAAACAACATCACTTCCTGCTTCCCATGCTAGGAGAAAGGAACTGAAAACAGAGGAAAGAAAAGCACACATGGAATAGCTGTGATTCACCACAGAGTTATCACCTAGATGGTTTCCTAATAGACAGTGATGAGCAGGCCACCTGGGGAAGAGTTGCACAGAAAAGGGGCTCCTGGAGGGATGGAGCTGGGAAGGAAGAAACTAAGAAGTAGTCCTAAGGGAGCAAGAAGGAATACGGGACAAACTGAAGATCTGACTAGTGGAGAAGTGGGAAAGTGCCTCAGTCATTCAGGGAGGAGGCACAATAGGTTTAGAGGAGAAAAATCCCTGTAAGGGTCTCATGGACTGGGGAATAAGACATGTGCACTCAGAGCACCAGAGAGATGCCAATTTCCTGCTGGCAAAACAGAGCAATACTGGGCCAGCTGGTGGTATGGTGGTTAAGGCACTGGATCCTACACGGCCAACTGAGTGGTTCAAGTCTTGGGGTGGTTCAAGTCCCAGGCCCGGTGCTTGAAAAACATGCCAGGAGTGTGTGTATGTGCAAGCCCAAAATCCTGAGAGGAGAATGGAAGAGGAGGGACTACAGCATGGCCAGCCCTCTAGGGGGTGATTTCTCACTTTCCCTCTTTCTGTCTCTGGTGAGCACATGCACCCTATAGCAAAATTAAAAAACAAAATAAAACCCAGACATAAACCAAGGTAACTATAAGGAAATCCTGAACTGGTATAAACAGAGGTTCATTTCAGACCTTGAGGAGTCTCAAAGTTGAATCCCTCAGTTGCATCCTGAGTTTAAACTCAACTAGGTCTTCATAAAGCTCGTAGCCATCACACACATCTCTAATGGTAGTAATAAAACAGCTCTCCTTACCCAGGGAGAACATGCTTCTGAAACTCTCTGGCATGTTATTTCTGCTCAAATCCTTCTGTGATGGGTCAAGAAGCCACTCCTCTCGAATAAGGGACACAGCCATGTCTTCGATCTTCTCCAAAGTCTGAAATGAAACAAGATCCCTGTGTAAAGGGATCTAAATAGCTGGGAAGAGTAAAACACACTACACATCTATTTAAAGAAACCAGGGATCAAACTATGCAAAGAATGTGAGGCAAGTTCCTGGGCAAGAAAAGCTATAGATGGTACAGGCATGGGGCACACCACTCCACTACCAGGCAGAGCTGTGGGGTTCAGTGAGGAGAAGCACAGCTCACCTGGAGCCCCGCTGTGAGGAGTGTGGTGGTCATCTCCTGGTCTCCGGAACTTCCTTTCTGGGAAGAAGGACTCTGAGAAGCAGATGTGGCTGAGAAGGGAGAAAGGACAAAGGAGCTCCAAATGAGAGAAGCCTTGACTTGTGCTTGTAGGAGCCAGCTCACTCCATTCTAAACCACATGTGAAGGTTCTACATATGACACACAAAATATCTTGAACTCTGGGCCTATACGTATGATTTAAAAAAAAATTGCCAGAGGACATGTACACGCACCAAAGGTGAGAGAGAGAGGGGGGGGGAGGGAGGGAAGGTGAGGGAGAGATTGAACAAGCAAGCACCCAACGGGGCATGGTCAGGCTGCAATCCTTATTCCTTCATTTCTCCATCCTGTTGGGATGCACACACATGTACCAGACATGTTTTTCAAGCTGCTGGGGCAGGAATTTAAACTCTGCTCACCCATTTGGGATCTGGTTCACTTAACACTAGGCCACAGGGTCAATCCTGAGCCTGGATTTATGGCTGCCCTCAGAACATCAGCCTAAGATGACACAAACAGAGAGTTCTAGTTTCCTGAAAGGAAAAGCTTTCTGATTTCTTCTTCACAACCAAAACAACTGGGCACAGTATTCCTTTAAGTTCCTGATTGTTTGGTTAACTTAATGTGAGAACCAGCCTACCTGCATGGACTCTACCACCTGTCTGAAATGTCTGCCATGGCTGCTGGTACCTGTTCCTACAGCTCTCCTCTGTTGGACATATTATACACTATGTCTCAGGCAACCAGCTGTTAGACTTTACTTTAAAAATTATAGGGCCAGAGCCAACAGGTGGCATGGTGGAAGGTGGCTGGATCCCACAGAGTGGACTGTGGTTCAGGTCTTGAAGACAATGGCTTGAAAATCACTCCAGGTGCGTGTGCAAAATCCCGAGAGGAGAATGGAAAAGGGATTGCAACATGGCCATCCCCCAGGGGAGTGATTTAAACAAATATAAATAAATAAATAAGATAGTGTTTTCGTGCTTTTTTAAAAAGAAACTATTGTAAACCACATAAATGAAAAAATACAAAAGGCAAAGGGAGATGAGACTGGAACATTTTGTTCTGAAAGAAAGTGAGGAAATTCTCAAAAAATGATAAGGGAGACTAAAGGGGCCTCCGGCCAAATCTAAGACAATTTAAGCATTAAAATAGAGACAATAACAAAATATTTACAGAATAAATAAGAATTTATGAGTCCATGCTGACAAAAAACAATAATAATATAAAATGGAGATGGGTCAGCAGGCAGCATGGAGGCTGAGGCACTGAATCCCATATGGTTAGCTTCCCAGTTTGAGTCCTGGACCTGGCAGCTTGAGAATCATGCTGGGAGTGTGTACATACATGTCCAAATCCCAAGTGGAGAATGGAAGAGAAGGGATTGTGGGGATTGTGGCCTGGCCATCTTCCCTGGGTGGGGGGTGTGTGTGTGATTTCTCTCCCTTTCTCTGGTGAGCTCATAAGCCCTATAAGAAAAACTAAAATAAATAAATAAAATAAAATGAGGATAAGGGAATGCTTTTCCTTACCATAAGCAACAAATAAACACAGAAGGAATGAGAGTTAAACAATCATCCCTTTTTAAAAATGAATTTAATTGTATTTGTTGTTATTATTTTTTAATTTGATCAGAAAGAAACCAATAGAGAGAAAGGGAAAGTGAGAAAGCAAGCTGCTAAGCCTGGACTTGAACTGTGGTTGGCCACTTAGGAGTCCTCCACCTTAACCACCATGTCACCTGCCAACCCGAACAATCACCCTTTTTTTAACCATCTCAGTAATCACTGAGAATTGGTCAAGAAGCATCATAATACTAAAACTAGTCTTTTAGCAGCAAAAGTTTGATGAAGACTAAGATATTTACATGACTCAGAGCATGTCCCCACAGATTACTTATTAATTACAAAGGAAAAAACAGTAACTTCATGGGACCAGCAGTTAGTGTAATGGGTATGTTCCTGGACTCCCATGTAGTCAACCACAGTTCGAGTCCTGCACACAGTGGCTTAAACTCACGCCAGGCGCGTGTGCATGCGTGCCCAAGATCCCGAGGGGAAAATGGAGGAGAAGGGATTGCAGCGTGGCCATCCCCCCTAGGGGGTGATTTCTCGCTTTCTGTCTCTCTGTTTGTCTCTTTTTGGTGAGCACACGCACCCTATAGCAAAAACCTCTCCAAAAAAAGAAATCAAACAAACAAACACAGTAACTTCACAATGAACCTAGCCAAAATAAGCAGAACCAAGTCATCAAAGAAAGCATCACCAGTAACCAGACCAATTACTGTCATACCCAAGGAGAATACTCCACGTTTGGAGCATTCCACCAAACGTACACAGCAAGGAAACATCACACAAGCCCAGATTGCAGCCATTCTACAGAATGGTGGACCTGCTCTCTTCAAAAATGCCAAGATCATGAAAGGCAAGGAAAGGCAAAGGAATTATCCCACACTAAAGGAGACGGAGAGACCCGACCGCTGACTGCAAAGTGTGCTCCTGGACTGGACTCTGGGATCAGAGGTCATATCACCGGGACGACTGGGGGCTGTAACTGAGATACGGGGTTGTAGCTGGTGTGTACAGCTGCCACATTCCCTCACTGCGATCAGCTCACTGTGATCTAAGAAACACGTGTGAGGAAATGCACACTGATGCGTGTACCAGTAAAACTACAACGATACCAAAAAAAAAAAAACCCAAAAAACAAAACCCCACACGCACCTGAGCTGGAAACACTGGGGTAGGATGTGTGAATTCACAAAAATGCCCCAGCTCCTTAGTCAGTTCATGAGTTTGCCATTGGGAGCAACAGTCTGTATCTGAAGCCTAGATAAACATTTAAACCTCGAGGGTCCAGCAGGTGGCATGGTGGTTAAGACACTGGATGCCCACATGATCAACCACAGTTCAAGTCCTGGATCCAGTGGCTTGAAAACCATGCCAGGCACATATGTGTGCCCATAATCCCAGGAGGAGAATGGAGAAATGATGATAAGAGGGGCTCATTTCTCATTTCCCTCTTTTTGTTTCTTTCTGGTGAACAAATGCACCCTATGGCAAAACCAAAAGAAAAAGAAATTTAAACCCAGATATTGGGACTGGTATATGAACAGTGATTCTGGTTCCTAGTCCCGAGGCACCAGACAGATACCATAACTGTCCCTCTTTATTTTCTGCTCTCTCACCCATGCAGCCTGGCTCCTCACCTCTCTCTGGTGGCCCGTGTGGTGCTGGGGACATATGCTGGGTGGTTGCTGGCTGGGGTTGAGCACTCGGAGGCTCTGGCGTAGATTCTGAACGCACCACCTCCTCCCAGAGCACCCTGTGTCCATGCGCACGAGCTGGGACCTGGAAGCAAGGGCAGTTCAGTTACAGAGAATCTCTGGGAAATGAAACAAACATCACAAGAAGATCTGGAAGGTTAGGTCCAGGGCACCTGCTTGGGGAAGGACGCTGCCTAGGGAGGCAGACACGCGGACTGACACAGAGGACACTGTCGAGCTCCCGGGGGTGGGGAGGCAAGCAGACACTTAAAGCAGCACTCTGCCATGGAGAAAGCAGCGGTGAGAAACAAGCAGCCTACGCTCTGCTTTCAGGTCTATGCAAATTGTTTGGGTGCCCCTGAAAAGTAATTTAAGCTCCCTGTGTATTGAGTTCCCATCTGGCAAATGAGGACTGTACCATAGAGGTAGGGATAGAAGTCAATTTATATCCTTAACAAAAAGAACCCCACAAAAAAAGGCCACACCGCAGTGTAACCGTTTCCGTCTTCATTGGACAGAACCAAGCCCTCGCATTTCCACTCCCATAGCGCTAGGACCCCGCGATCAGTGTGCAGCCTGCTTACGTACTGGCCGGCCCAGGATATCGATCTGCCTCTCCAAGTCCTCCAACAGGGTCACCACCTCCTCTCCGTCCTCCAGCTGATGCTCCCTGACCAGAGCCCGCAGCTCCCCGGGAAGGATGCTCAGGAACTGCTCCAGCACCAAGAGCTCCAGGATTTGCTCCTTGCTGTTCACATCTGGCCGCAGCCACTGATGGCAGAGCGCCCGCAGCTGGATGAGGGCCTCCCGGGGCCCCAGCGTCTCCTGGTAGCATAGCTGCCTGAAGCGCAGGCGGAAGAGCTCTTGGCCAGGAGGGCTGCTCTCACGTAGGCTGGATTCATGATCCCAACCATGATCCTCCTCTACCTTGACAATGACGAGGTCCTCTTCAGGAGCCTGGTCTGGTGGCAATGGAGCAGGAGGCTTTCTTGACTCTGTAGCCATTTAGAATGGGAAAAACCCAGCAGGCTCGTTTCCACGACCTCCTTAAGAGAAAAACCTCCTGAGGGCCTCTTTTCAAAGGGTACTTCTCTGCGAAGAAATGACAAGGAGTGTTAGGGCAAGTTACTTGGGAAGGATAGTAACTTCCGAAGGCATCTAGACACACTCTCTCTTGACGAGAACAAGCGACACAGCTATTTAAGTGCTCCTCTATGTTCTAGCACTAACTCCTGCCAGGCCAGACGTATTGGCCTACCTGGGGAGTAACCCCCCATGCCTGCTCTCTGGGGGTGCAGAACATGAGCCAACAGAGTCAGGAGGCATGCAGACGGGCTCCAACGGGAGGTCTGTGCTCACCTCGCTGGCCCTTCTGGTGTCTGTCACATCAGTGGCAATCAGCAGGCCACTCGCTCCCAACAGATGAGGTCAGTCTCCTTAACCTTGCTCACGGTGCGGTGGAGAAGCCCCAGCAATGGCCCCTCCTCTGACCTCACCGACCTGTGCTCGCTCCTGCCCCTCCACTTCAGGCTTACTGCCAGCACAGGCCTTTCCTCTGGCACAGGAACTTGCACTCCATCTCAAGGAACTGGAGACCTGATCACGCCCGAGTCCAAAGCCTAATCCCATACTGGCTGCTGGCCTTCCCGAGTGCTACACATAAACAAAGCTGCTTGCAGGCATCTCCGTCTGGCCCCTTTCCCTTGTGGATAGCGCACCCGCAGTGGATCAGTGTGTCCTAACAGGAGTTTATTCCTTGTATGGATGGAAGCTTATCCATGCCTTTGCTGAGAGATGAGTTATTTACCACGAATAAAGCCATTATGATCATTTAAACACCAATTTTTTTGTGAACATAGTCTTCATTTCATTTGGGTAAATTTCAAAAGTAAAACTGCTGGGTCATAAAATATATGTACGTATAATTTTGTAAGAAACTATTGGGCCACTCTGTGGCCTAGTAGTTAGGCAGTTGGATCCCAACCAGCAACCATGTGACTCAATTCTCAGACAAAACAAGGGTATGTGTGTGTCTAAAATCCCGAAAGGCGGATGGAGAAGAGGTGGCTGCAACATGACCATTCCCTGGAGGTGCTTTTCCCTTTGGGTCTCTCTGGATAGTGCATATGCCCTCTGGTTAAAAAAAAAAAAAAAGGGACCAGCAGGTGGCATAGTGGTTAAGGCACTGGACATTCTCACATGGTCAACCATGGTTCAAATCCCATACCTGGTGCTTGCTTTCTCTCTCTCTCTGGTCAAATTAAAATAAATGAATGAATAAATAAAATTAAATACATAATTCTAAAAATATTTTTTTTTTTAAAGAAAGGGAATTGAAGAGCTATTTTTGCAGTTAGGCAAGGATGGGACAGCACTGTGGAAAGTAAACACAGACTGCAAGAACAAAGGAGCACGTAGTCGAACACGGTGAGCAGCATAAGAGGTATGACTGATAAGACTGTGACTTCAGAGAGGAAGGACGACTGCAATAGTGAGATTTACAGGAAGAAATTTGAGCAAGATGATGAAATTTTATGAAAGGCTTGAGATAAGGGGTAATCAATTTTTTTTGTTGTTTTGTTTTTTAGTTCTCTTTTAAGAAGTTTTTGCCTTAGGGAGTATGAAATGGGGCAGGGGAGACAGTGACAGTGAGAGGGAAAGTAAAAAATCACCCCCTGGGGGAAGGACCATACTGCAATCCCTTCTCCTCCATTCTCCTCCGGGGTCCTAACACACATGCCCAACACGATCTTCAAGCTACCAGGTCTGGGACCTGAACCATGGCTGCCCATGTGGGAGTCAAGTGACGCAACCACTACATCATTTGCTGGTCTCCAGTTTTGTTTTTAACAGACAAGATTAACATCTATAATTTGGTGCCAGCAGATGGCGTGGTGCTAAGGGTGCTGGACTCCCACATGGTCAACCTTGGTTCGAGTCCCAAACCTGGCAGCTTGCTTTCTCATTTTCCCTGTCTCTCTCTCTCTCTCTCTGTTCCTCTCTGGTCAAATTAAAATAAAATAAATAAATAAAGATAAAATAATTAAAAAAAAAACCCCTACAATTTAAAAAGAATTACCCTTAAGTTATTTTATTTTAAAATAATTTAATATTTTTTAACTGTCAGAGGCACATGTGCTCACCAGACAAAGATGATGAAAGAGAGAGAGAAAGCCCCTAACTGGGGTATGGTCACAGTGCAACTCCTTCTCCTCCATTCCTCCATCCTGTATGGACTGGGGGCATGCACACACACACCCAGCGTGTTTCTCAAGACATCAGGGCTGGGGTGTGAACCGCAGGGGGCCATGCGAGATCCTGCTCCTTTAACCACGAGGCTATGGGACTCGTCTGAAAATAATTTAATTTGTAAAGTTAACTGAAATTTAACTAATTCTTAAATTTTCTTAAAATAAATACTTATAGTTTAATGTTAAAATCATAAACATATGGGTCAGTAAATAGTGTGGTGGTTATGTCGCTGGACTCCCACATAGCTCACTGGTTTGAATCCTGGACCCGGTGGCTTGAAAAATCACCCCAGAAACATGTGCGTTTCTCATTCACCCTCTCACTGTCTCGGTCTCTCTCTCCCTAGCACACACATACACCCTAAGGCAAAAAAACCCCAAACAAACAAAAAAAGTTTGTTACCATGAACATCAATTCTGAGTTCTAACAGTTTAGAATATGATATTAAATAGCTAGTCTTGGGACCAGCAGTTAGCGAAATGGCTATGTTGCTGGACTCCCACGTAGTCGACCGCTGCTCGAGTCCTGGACCTGGTGGCTTAAACTCACGCTGGGCGTGTGTGCATGCGTGCCCAAGATCCCGAGGGGAAAATGGAGGAGAAGGGATTGCGGCGTGGCCATCCCCCCGGGGGGTGATTTCTTGCTTTCTGTCTCTCTATCTCTGTCTGGTGAGTGCACGCGCCCTATAGCAAAAACCTCTCTGAAAAAAAAAAAAGGCTAGTCTTACCTGCTTTCTTAGGAACTTTCTTAAAGCCAATGCTTATTTTAAACTACTGAACAACCAGCCATCTTACAATCAATCCCTGTAAATATGAGCTAAAACTATTCAGTGTGAGGTTTACACCATTCAAAACTTTAGGCTGGGGGCCCACAGGTAGTGAGGTGGTTAGGGTGCTGGACTCTCACATGGTGACTATGGTTCAAGTCCCAGACCTGGTGGCTTGCTTTCTTACTTTGCTTCTCTCTCTCTGGTCAAATTAAAAAAAAAAAAAAATGATAATAGGGGCTGGCAGATGGCGTGATGCTTAGGGTACTGGACTCCCACATGGCTGACTGCAGCTTGCTTCCTCACTTTCCCTCTTCCTCTTTCTCTCTGTCTCTCTGGTGAGTGCACATGCCCTATAAAAAATTTAAAAATAACAACAAATAAAATTAAGTAAATAATTCTTTAAAAATTAATAATAGTAACTAAACTAAACCTTTAGACTGTTGATATGGCATTAAAGTCTTTTTTTTTTTTTTTTTAAAGAGGCTTTTGCTATAGGGCACATGTGCTCACCAGAAAGACAGAGACAGAGAGACAGAAAGTGAGAAATCACCCCCCAGGGCAAATGGCCGTGCTGCAATCCCTTCTCCATTCTCCTCTAGGGATTTTTGGGCACACACACACCCGTGTTCCTTAAGCTGCCAGGTCCAAGCCTCAAACGGCCAACAGCCACATGGGAGTCCAGAGCCTTAGCCACCATGCCACCTGCTGGCCCTTGATTATTCCTTAGTGGTTAATGTTCCATTTTTGCTCTCTTCCTTCTCCATGCAGCCAGTTTTTGAGAATTACAACCTATAGATACCTAAGTACAAAATTAGCCCACTATGTACTTCCTCTGTTTTGTGTGCACATACCCATATAAAGTTGGTAAACACTTTGTGGATAAATACTGAGTCTTACACATCCTCCTTAAAGACACCATGTCTATACAGTTATGAATTTAAAATAGACGATCACTCAAGTCTCTTCTGAGTCTCAAAAGCTATAATCCTGTCAACTACTGAAGACTTGACTCAACTTTTTATTTTAAGTTTTACTCATCATTGTTATTTATTTATCTATTTATTTTAATTTAAGCAGAGAGAGACACAGAAAGAGAGAGAAAGTGAGAAAACAAGTCACCAGATCCAGGGCTCAACCACATCAGCCACGTGGGAGTCCAGCGCCCCAGCCATCATGCCATCTGCCAGCCCGACACAACTCAACTTCTAATGGAATTTTATTTTTCCAACAGATTAAGAAAAAACACATTCTTCCTTCAATTCAGCTAAACCAGATTTGAGAATGTTTGGAGATTGAAAATAAATAAATTCATTTCCAGGCTTTAAAAATTAAAAAAAAAAAGAAAAGGTAGGTAAGTCAAATACTGTGCTTTGGAGTTATCTCAAGTTGCATTAGCTGAATGTTTTACCATTTCACATTTACCACATTTTACAGCACAACAGAAATTTTGCATGTGTGCATTTGCTAAAACATGCTGCTGCCTAACACACTGGCCACACCGGCCTAACAGAAGTGTATGTTAGATGTGGAGGCGGCAGTTTTCAAGCAGCCCAAAGAAAGGGACTCTTGCCTGGCCTGAATTTTGGAAATGGAGCTCTCCTCCCAAAGAATTCTCAGGCATTTGCTTTCATTAGCTTTAATAAATGAAACGAGTGGGAACCAACAGTTAGCATAATGGCTATGTTGCTGGACTCCCACGTAGTCGACCGCGGTTCGCGTCCCTGACCCCAAAGCTTAAAACTCACGCCAGGCGCGTGTGCGTGCGTGCCCAGGATCCCGAGAGGAGAATGGAGGAGAAGGGATTGCGGCGTGGCCATCCCCCCTTTCTCGCTTTCTGTCTCTATGTCTCTGTCTGTCTGGTGAGCGCACGCACCCTATAGTGAAAATCTCTCCAAAAAAAAAAATAAAATAAAATAAAAATGAATCCTCCTACATTTGAAAAGCAGCTCACATTGTTTGTGTTTGTGTTCTGTCTCATTTGATCCTTACAATTAACCAAGAAATAAAAAAACGAAACGAGCAAAGTATTCTGACAAAGCCATTTTTGACAATTCCTGGGTACACATAGAATTCTATATAAAGGGAGATGGCCACGCCGCAATCCCTTCTCCTCCATTCTCTCTGGCACGCAGGCACACCGCGCCCGGCATGAGTTTAAGAGAGAATTCTATGAGTACCCAGTAATTATCAAAGTGCTTCTTTCGTACAATTACCTAACCACCACATCACCGTTTTCTGAACACAGTGAAAAGGGCAGAATGACTAACAGCAAACGTGGAAGGTAGCTGGGGCTTCCAAAACCAAGATACGCCCTTATAAAACAAATGAGCGTGTCGCAGCGACCGCAATGCGATTAGGCGAGTGAGCCGGTGAGACCGCGGGGAGGCGGGCGCGAGAGCGCGGCAGCTCCTCTAAGGCCGGCAAGGCTCCCTGCAGACCACCACGCACGATCCGCCGCGAGGAAGAGCG